AGTGCGGGTTTTTCACGCATTGATCGGTTTAATATAATCGGTTTAATCGCTTTCAAATGTGAAGTGTGAGTATCTGTAAGCACCGTTTGATATCGATTGTCCTGATTTTTTGCGAAATTGCATGTATAAGGCAATGCTCCAAGATTAATTTATAGATATATCTTATCGATTCGCGGATACCAAGTAATACATGAGCTATTTTAAGTCTCGCTCGAAAGACTTTTATTACTTTATTAAATTCGCGGTACTGTCTATCTTTGACTTGAGAATTGGAGCGGGATAGTTGTTAGAGGGTGAGATCTAAATTATGACACCATAATGGTCGTATCTTGTCCGTCGCGAAATAGACCGTCTGGTAAGCTAATTCTGAAACGAATCTCGTATAATTAGAACACGAGAGTAGGCCTAAAGGGAGCTGAGGATACACTGCGCATCTTCAGCGTTACATCAGAGCATATGTGATTTGAAATCGGAATCGAAAAGGAATTTTAGTGGAGCGACCTTATCAGCGAATATGAGCGAAGAGAAGTGGGAGTACAAAGTGACTATTTCCTTCGACGTTCGAGAATTTAGTTCGAGAATTTAGTTCCGCGTATTAGTATAGTCTATAGAAGTCTATAGACACGTATATACGTGCGCATCGTGATGATAGATATGTGCATATGTGCAAGAATATTGTTATGTAATGCAACGATGCAGTCAGGACAAGGTTTCGGTATCGTATTGGAACTATCAGAAATTTCATCTCTCTCTCTCTCTCTCTCTCTCTCTCTCTCTCTCTCTCTCTCTCTCTGTTTCCTTTTCTGTTCGTGAGATTAATTCGTGTTACGTTATAGTCAATCTGATTGATCAGAAATTCGTACACGTGCTTCGATGCCTTCGATGCATTGATCGCTCGCCGCGAATCGTCGACTTATTCCGCGTCGTAAAGCAACCTGTTGATGTTTCACATCCCGTTAAAATCGCAGGCAGTCGATGAGACATCTAATAGCATTTAATGTCGATGTTGATTTCTAACAGATATTGTAACTGCGGATTATGTCGGCACATTCGCGGACGTATACATGTGTTATTTTGACGAATGCAGTCACAATCGCATCAAAATGCTAAGTTCTCTCTCACCGGCGAAAAGCACCATACACGGTACATCATCGGTATTCATGCAACCGGGATGTACCATAGAACTGGTTTGTCAGCGATAATTCAGGATCTGTCGACGTAGAATGTAAGCCCTTACCCGTCAAAGCACATATATAGAGAACGGCGGAAGTAATGTATGAATGCTAATGCTCGGAAAGCCATGCAACGAATGGATCGATTTGATTAATACGCAGAATAATCTGTATTGATTTGTGATTATGATTCGCAATAACATTGGTGCACTCAATGTCGACAAACGCGATCCGTTTATTCTGTACTGTGTTCGTATTCATTACTCTTCGACAAAATTAGAGTTTAGAACTTTCTTATGTATATATGTATTTATCGTTTTTAAATTATTGTATGAAAAGACAAGATTTTGTTGAAATATCTAGAAATTTAGCTAGATACAGATGTGAAAATAATTCTGTTGGACCATCAACATAATTATATAGAACGTTCACACACACACACACACACACACACACACACACACACACACACACACACACACACACACACACACACACACACACACACACACACACACACACAAACTGGTTGCTAAAATGTTAAAAATTTTATGCGACATTACTCATAATATATATTTTAAAGTCCTACGTAAATCATTTGGATGGTCCAACAAAATTATTTTTAGATGTATATATACTTAAAATTTATTTTATTTGTAATCTCTTTATAAGCAATTTCTGTATCACTGCAAATGTAAAATTATACGTGTTAAGATTTTGTTAAATTTATTTTTTTGCTGCCTACTTTATGATAGGAACTGATGGATTATGTAATTTAAGGTCGGTATACCTAGTCGATTCTTATTCTAATATCATCTTAAGCAATGTCTTAAGATGCTAATATAACTCTGTGGGTGATATTCATAGTCCATTCTTATTTTAAGACCGTCTTAAGTAATGTCTTAATATGACATGCTAATGCAGCTCTCTGATTGGCTTATGACATCTTAAGACTATACTTAAACGGTCTTAAATATAAAAACTAATGATAAATATCAGCCTTAAGCGTAAGTCTATCGGTTTGCAAAATATTTTATTACGCGCCATTGCAGCAAAAAATAAATTTAACAAAATTTTAACGCGTCTAATTTTTCATTTACGATACAACAAAAACAGTTTATAAAAAGAGGAGAGTAAAATACGGAAAAAATATTTTTCTGAATCTACTTTAGGACGATTTATTAAATCTACTTTAGAATCCATTTATATTTAGGAATTTTTTGGTAGGTCGCTTTTTATTTCTATAAACAGCTTATTTGTTTCACTTTGTATAAGTACTTTCTTGTTACGTATTTTTGTGGAGTTATCTTGTTTTGAATTATTATTCGCGTTGCATTCTTTTTATCGGATCATTATTGGACATAGGTGGGTTGAATGTACAAAACACAGTCGACTGTAATAGTGTAATCATGTTTTTCTTACATTTTTTTTAGAAATCTTTTGCTATATGCGCTGCCGGACAGCTCCCCAACAAAATCGCCTTTTCTACTTTTGTCACAGCCATTCTCGTATTGTATTACGCATAGTGACAAGAGCAGATAAGAAAGAAAACGAAAAAGAGAAAAATGAACAACAAAGATCCTTTGCAGCAACACGATTGCCGTCTCTCAGGTCCAAAGGTGTCAGCTATCCTTGTCGTGGCCCATTTCCCTAGCACATCCGGTTATCGTAGCCAGCGAAGTAGAAATCTTATCATGGCAAACTTCATATCACGTCGATCTGTAATGTATTATGTTTGATAATCATGTTTGAGATCCTTCAAAATCGAGATCAGATTAAAAGCTTGGCGTGTTTTCCGCGAAACCTATTTAACGTTTTATTGTTTGGTATGATAAATAGATAATGAATAAATTGTAATCACGGATTTATATAATGCGATATTGATCAGGGCAGCTTTTACAATTAGCTGTACAGCCTCATACGATGACCCAAGCTAGTTAATCGTTGTAATTAATTCAGGAGTCGTCTAGAGAGAGGGAGACAGAGAAAGAGAAAGGCTGTTACCGTCACTGCATTAATTCTGTAATACGGGTATAATGAATTTAGATATTACGACATGGCTCATGAACATATCCCTATAGAGATAAGATAAAATCTTCAAATAATATATTCTACCATATATTACAAGTAATATATCCTACCCTCTTTTTTATATGAGATGTTGCATTTCCGTATTATTATATTTAGACCTTTTGGCTGAGATTGTTTTTTTTTTAGGCCAAGAGATATTTTTTTCATGCGTATTCACACGAAGAATCTTATGAATCATTCAGTACATTGAAGTTTTTGAGTGAACAAGAAAGCAAGGCGAAAAAAAGAAAAAGAAAAAACTGGAAAGAATAAAAGATAAGGGGACGAGTTAAAAATAAAGGACGATATTAAGGGCGAAACTCTTGTAACGCAGCAACAGTAAACATTATCGTGAAGTGTTAAGACATTTAAAGTGCTTTCGCGAAGAAATAATAAAGTTGTAGGAATTCAGTCGATTTCGTTGATATGATAATTTAAGGAATTCTTAATTAGAACGGTAGCATATGTATAATGTATTATACACGCGGTCTGCCTCGCCATTTAACACGATGAATACGTTGGTGTGCCAACGTACGTTTCCAACGCCATTTTCAGACCTTATCAACCGAAAAAATCGCCTACGCCGAGCGGCAGCAGATCGGGTTGGCGTTCTCGTAGGAGCATTACGACGGCGGGAGCCCCCGGAGGGCACCAACACCACGTGATTGCTACTGCCGCCGCGACGGCTCAGGCTAGGATGCAGGCCGAGCAGGGCAGCATCGGCGAGCTACGTGGGTACCACAACCTGCGATCCCGCAGGCACACCTTGGCCAACGTTCGGTGAGTCTCGATTTTAGCCATTACACTGGGATGAAAGGCGAACGGAGCGCCGATCAATACTTGCAGATGGCAAGAATATTCAGAAAACATCGCACGGATGTCTATAAAAGGCGTAAATTTTTTAGATGTTCTTTAAACATTTGTTGTGCGGATAGATTTCTGTGCTGTTTGATTTCTGTTGTTTATGATTGAAATTACTTATTGAGGAACGCGTAGGACAATGAAAGAGAATTTGATTCAAAGTAGAACTGTATTGATTTGTCTATAATCTATACAATTGTTAATTTGCTTGGAAAATCTTGAATTTTTAAAATACAAATTAAAATGAAACGTTTATATTTTTCAAATTGTCTGTCTACTTTGAATTGAATCGATATATTAATATATTACAGGTACATATACGTGTACAAAAAACATTTGAATATGAATTTAATATTTGATTTTATCGTTGCACTATACGCTACAGCGAATGAATTAAAAGCACGGGAGAAGCATTTATTCATATAATGAAATTGTTCGCATATAGTATATCATTGTAAAGATCATATTATCGAAAATTACATACTACATATCTCTTTTTTCATCTTTTATATCCTTCCATTTTTTACTGGCGTTGTCTCAACCAGAGATCTAACACAAGAGTTCGCTATTCACGTAAACTCTGATTAAATTCTGTGATGCATTTTTCACATTTTATTCATGATTCTGCTGCTAGCCACTCTTTCAAACTTTTTATCACTTTATCACTATCATAACGTTTTATAGCATTTTCTAGCATTTTCACAGCTTATACTGTAGCTGCACATATTTTTTTGTAGCGTATTATTTTAATATTATTCATGTTATTGAATGGATAAAATTATTGGAAAAATAAATGCTACAGTATAATATCAACTCAAATATTTAATTAAACAATATATGTTATTATACGACTGATTGAATAAAATAATGATAAATATATATATATATATGTGTGTGTTTAATCTCCACAATAGCAGTTTCCTTTTTTAATTGATTCTATGCCAGTTTTCTCTAATTTGAAGCAAATGCAACTTGCGGATAGCGGTTCCACAGTTGATTTTTCCTCTAAAATTGACTGCAAATCATCTTTTCTTTTTTGTTCGATAGGATTAATCTTTTGCTTAGGTATTTTGGCCAAGCAAGCCTGGTTCCTTTTTTCGATTACTCTTTTTCGAGATATCGCACGGCATGATTTACTAGTCAGTGATACATATCTGTAACTCTCCTGATCATGAGAAATCTTCTTAATGATTTTCTTGATGTGATGTCTCTCATGTGGCATCCTGCTCTGTATTTTCGCTTTGCAATCACTACACAATCTATGCGATATCGGATGATCGATTTTAGGCCGAATAAACATACGCTTGAACGCAGCTGCTGCCGGAGGTGTTGCATCTATCTGCGGTTGAACCTCTAATCTAGGTCTTGTCGACGGCGGAGTTGGAGTTTTACTGCATGAACAACAGTTACAAGCTGCTCTGCCCGTTTCGTCGGGCCTCTCGCCATAATTAATTGTCCTAATCTCGCGTTCTGTGTCCGGTCGCGCTAGCCCGGCGGCGATCTTTATAGATCGTAAAAGTTCATCCGTGGGCACTCTCGCGCGTTCTCTTTCATCTCTTACAACTCGATCGTGGCTAACGTGGCTTGTTTTATCCGTCTGTGATCCGGTGCTGGAAGTCGTGACGGTCGATTGGTCCTTTAAGCGTTTGCGCCAGAGCATTTTTCGGCCGGTTATTTCAGGACGGTCGCCAGCGATTTCAGTCCTCGATGTTTTTAGCTCAGCTGGTTTTAAATATTCACTAATATTTCGTATACGGGGCGGTTCAGCGGTCGAAATTGTCTGCGAGGTTATTTGTACAACTTCAGTTTTGACGGCCTCGATTTGTACAATTTTGGCTTGTTCGACCTCATTTTGTTCGATCTCGGTTTGCATCATTTTGGTTTGTACGACCTCGGATTGTATAACTTCGGTTTGTACGACTTCGGTTTGAGGTACATCAATTTGTGGAATCTCGAACTGCCTTGTGGTCTCGATCGGTGGTCGCTGCAAGTGAAGGAATCATATATTCAGAATGGTCAGTCGCTATTAATACATGTGCTAGAATGAGACAAGAAACTATGAATAATTTAAGGCTTCCATACCATGTATGAAAGCTATATTATTCTTTCTCAGAAAGACATTAAAATTATTGTGTTTGTTAAGAAATTGTCAATTATTAATAACTATTAAGAAAGCCATAATTGAAGTGAATAATATTTACTAACCAAACAACATTCCGTACATGGTGGCTTCGCGGGTATAATCTGCAATAGTTCCTTCTCTTTGATCTTCGCTATGATTAGATACGGCTGTGCCACTAATCTTGGATCGAATGGTATCGCTGGTACTTCCATTTCGGTCGATTTTATCTCAGCAATTGGAATTTTTAATTCTATCTGGACCATTTCTGGTTTTTTCTCTTCTGGTACTTCTTTTTTTATTTTTGGTGTTAGTTTTTTGAGCAGCGGAGCTATTGTCGGTATTTCCTCTTTTTTTATTTGAAGTATTTCTTCTTCTTCCTTCTTTTCAGATAATTCGATAGACGGTATAACTTCTTCCGGCAGTGGAATTTCTTTTATTTCTTCATCTTTTTCTTCTTTAATTTTTACTTTAAGCATTTCTTCTAGGTCTTCGATCTTCTCTTCTTTTTTTATCGTTGGTAATGTTGGTATTGGCTGAATTATTTCAATCTTTCCTTCTGTTACTATATCCGCACGTGGTAATAATTCTTCTGTTTCAATTTTTTCTCCCTTTATCATATTTGGCAATTCTGCGGCTTTAATTTGTTTTTTTTTTACTATATCCGTAATCGGTGAAACCTCTGCGGCTTCAATTTTTTCTTCTTTTGCTATATCCGAAATCGATGGTAATTCTACGGTTTCAATTTTTTCTTCTCTTGCTATATCCGAAATTAGTGGCAACTTTACGGCTTCATTTTTTTCTTTTTTTCCCATGACCTCAATTGGTGACAGTTCTGTGACTTCATTTTTTTCTTTTTTCATTATTTGGGCAATCGGTAGCGTTTCTGCGGTTTCAATCTCTTCTTTTTTTATTGCGGGTTTTTCATTTTTGATTTTTTCTTTGATTGTTGCCGCGTCCAGAAGCAATGAATCTTCTTTTTCATTCAAAATAGGTGTAGGCTCTTCCATTTTAATTTTTTCTTCTATTGCTTTTGTAATCGGTGCTTTTTCAACATCTACGATAGGAAATTTGTCGGGTTCGAATTTTTCTACCTCGGTTATGTCCACAGTTGGTGAAATTGTCTCTGGTATCATTTTTTTTACTTCTTTTACATCTACTACCGGCATTGTTTTCTCTTGTTTTATCTCTTTCTTTTCTGAAATCGGCGAAACTTCTACAATTTCCATAGGTGGTATCATTTCTTTCATGTCTGAAATTTTAGTTTCATCTAGCGATGAAATTTCCTCCGACTTTTCTGCAACCCGTTCTACAAATTCGCTTTCCTCAATTTCCGTCACTGGTAATACTTTATCTGCTTTTTTGTCTTCTACTGTTATTTCTTTTATTTTTGTTTCTGTTGGTATGTCTTTCTCTTTTTCATCGTTTTTTTCTATATGATTAGATATGATTTCTTGTTCTTCTTTTTCTGTTTTTGGAACAACTAATACTTTTTCTTCATCTATAGAATTTATAGTTTTATCATTTGTTTCTAATTTTGTTGTTAATTTATTATTTATCAGATCTTTGACTGCTGCTTTTCTCTCTGCATTTTTGTTTTTAGGTATTTCAATCTCTTTCGCATTGTGTACAATTTCTTTGACTCGTGTTTCTTCAGCTTTTATTTCAATATCTGGTTCGGATATTGTTAACGGAAGCGTGTCGTTTTTCGAATTTTTTGGATCGTGCATTGTAGGAGGCTGAAAAGAATCTTCCATTGAAATCGCCGTAGGGAGTTTTATGTCAATTGGTACCTCCTCTTTTGTAAAAGTAGGTAGTAATTCTGATTCAGCTATTGCTTCCATTGATGCTTTCACTTCTGCTGATGCTTCTTCAGAGTTAAGGAATGGTACGGAATCAATTTTTATCACAGGTTCCATTTCTTTAGCCTTCAAAATTATTAATTCGTCTTATAATTTAGTTTGACTTATTAATTTTTCATTTTTATTTTATTTTTATTTTATTCTTCTTAATCACCTTCTCCTGCTTACCTTCTTTATTGTTGCATTTTCCTCTTCCACTTCTTTAGGTTTTATCTAATAGAACATAATTTGAATTATAACATAATAGTTTTAATTCGAAAATATTATGTTTTTAATTAAATCGAAAGCATTCTTACAAATTCTTCTAAACATTAATTACTGTTTTTTTTTCTAAACATTAAATACTGTTTGACAAAAAGTGACTTTTTCTCTCGTTAAAGAATCACAATACATATTCCGAAAATTTTTGCGCTGAACATTTTTTTATGATGCGGTTGGTAGAACTTGCGTACCACGGCAGGATTTGGAGTAAATTAAATGGGCTAAAAATAGCGCTTTTGGCCATTTTCAACATTTTTTTTACGGTAAAACTAAACTTTGTTTCTCAATCAAGTACATACCCCGAAGTTTTTTTCACACTGAACATGTTGCAGTCAAAATTGACGTAGCATGTCAGAGTTTTTAGTAAATTGAAGTAATAGTAAATTGAGGTGATTTTGGCACATTTTATTCCAATTTACTAAAGTCCTGGTACATAAATTCTGATAATGACGTCATGTTCAGCTCGACGTCGTGTTCAGCACGAAATCTTCAAAATATACAGTACTATAGCACTTCAAATAAGAAAAAGGTTTTTTGTTGAAATGCATAATTTATACAGAAAGTCCATAGTTTAAGCAATTATAACTTGATGGAAATAAATTATATAATCATGAAATAAAATTTATTTGAACGTTTTTTAATTGTATTTTTAGATGATGTAAATTTTATTTAGAAATAAATTTTTGTTTCTTTATAAGTAATATTAAAAATAGCTAAAAATGTCATTTTTTTGCTCCAATTTATCCAAATCCACATATGCTATGTAAATTTTGTTAATTTGACATCGTGTTCAAAAAATCTTTGGAATATGTATTGTGATACTTCGGAAAGAATTAGAACTGTATTATTAAATAGTGAGATATCAAGATAGATATTATTAAATATAATGAGAATTGAAAAGTATTGTTTGTATTATTACTCATAAACTATGATCATTACTCACAAACAATGAATCGCAATATTATAGGTATATCTGATCTCTTACCCCAACATACGTGCCAACTTGTTCTGCTAAGGTATCAGCATCTTTTTTTACTTCATGACAGTCTGGATGTTTCTGAATATATGGAACAGAAATATATTACCATGAAAAAATTACATATTCTGCATTTATTGTGCTACATAATACTACTTAAACTTTTTCTAGCTAATGTCATATTATTAGCTAAAATATTAATACAGTTTGTGTATATTTATATAATTGCAATATTTCTTTAATTTTAATTGTAATACGAATTGTATACCGCTGCTGTCGTGCGAATTGTATCGATCGCATCAATCCACGATAGGATCGTCTTCCGTTGTATCATGATGCTCTGATTTTGTTTATTTCCAGCCTCGATGTTGTTTATTTCCGGCGCTCGGTCTTTCGGCATCGTTACCAGCCTATCGTCCGCAGCTTCTTCGATTGCCCGTGATGTTACAGTTTCTCTAACGTCTACGACTTCAGCGACCCGTTTTTCCACTTTCTCGGCAATTTTTCTCTCAATTTCGACGCCAGGGATTTCATCTTCTTTCTTTTCTCTTTTTTCAATTCCGTCAACAGCGTGTAATTTTTTTACTAATTCTTTTTTAAATTGCCTCTCTCGTTCCTCTGTAATCATGGTTTCATCACGTTCCTTTGCTAGTACAGGATGTTTCACACTCAACGCAATAAGTTCCTCATCTGTCATACCGGTAGGTGACGTCACCACATCGTTGCATACGAAATCATGTGCGCACGGCACACCGTCATCTGTATACAGCTCTTCTAACGAGCCTAATTGCGCCAAATATTCCCGAACTTCTTTAAATCTCTGTTGCTCATAAGCTACGTCTTCCGGTCGAACTATACTTTCCGCATCTTTGATTTGTACAAGATCTACCGGACGATCGACAGCAAGATCAACCAAGTCGGGTTTAATCGAGACAAACTTATCGTCCACGATAAAAGTAGCTTCTATATCGGCGTCGGTTAGGGCGACTCTCGCCAACGCTTCTTTATCCTCAACTTCGGTTATTGCTAACGCTTCCTTGTCCACGACTTCGGTCTTCACTAGTACTCCCTCATCCACAACTTTGACCTTTGCAAGAACTTCATCGTCCTTTACTGTGGCTATGTCATCTATCCTACCGATTGGCCGATGCACGACTTTAGCCTTTACCGCAACTTCCTTATCTGCCACTTTCGCAACGTCATCGTCGCGACCTATCGTAGCTTCAACTTTCTCAATACTTAGAAACTTCTCTAGTTCTGTTCTACACGTGATTAGTCTTGCCCGGCACTTCTCGAGTGCATCTTCCAATTCGCATACACGATTCGCGAGTTGTTGATTGGCGGTAGTTTTCATGTCCAATTGTTTTTGCAATGCGCTCGTTGTACTGACCATATCGCCCTCCATTTTTGACCACAATTCATCGGCTTGCTGAAGCGTTCTCATGTAAACTTCCTCACGGCGTTCCAACTCGACTATTTCTCGCTTTGTTATCACCTCCTCTTCCGCTAATCGTTGTAGCTTCTCCAGACACTGAATATCTCCGGACTCGATGGACGTCACGCTAGAGACTTTGCTGAGATGTCTCTGTTTACATTGTGTGTCACCGCACTGGCACAATTCGTCCATTTCTATTGCTTTCTTTTCCATCGCTTCTTGCAGCATTCTATTTTCTTCATTTAACCGTTCTATCGCGTTTCTTTGTTCCTCCTGAATTTTTCTGGCTTCGTCAAGTTTTTTTTTTCTTTCTTTCAACGTCGCGAGTTTCTCCGACCAAAGAGTTCGCGCTTCCTCCACCTTTTTCAACGCTAGTTTTCTTTCTGCCTCAATTTCTCGTACCCTGCAATCGTAATGACAGCTCGGTGTGCTACGACAAGAGAGTTCCCTCGTGTCTTTAAATTGTTTCTCCAGAATACGCTTGATCCTACAGACAGGCGCGCCTTGTGACATCATCACCGCTGGTATCAAACACTCTAGCATATCCAGACGTTGTCGCAGTCCTCCTTCCATCTTTTTCAATTCTTCTTTACGTTGCTCTCGTTTGCCAATTATATCACGAAGAGGACGTTGACATCGATATTTACCGACCGTCACCGTTGCCATATCGCCAATTTTTCCTGGATTGTTAATCTTGCGTTTTGATTTATCATATTTCTCGGTGTTATCGACTCTCTTAGGAAAGGATTCTGACGTGGTCGTCTCTTTTAATATTCCATTATTCTCCTTCATTGCTTCTTTTTGAAAAGAATTTATTCCTTTTATTGAGAATCTTTCTTCTTTTTTCGTGTTTTTAATTATACAAATCTTTGATTCAGCGAGAATGCGATGTTCTGTTTCTTTTGCATTTTTTTGATAGGTAGTATGCTTCGACGGATCTTTATTAGAATTATTTTCGTTCTCCATGCGCTTCCTGATTATCTGACTAAAGATTTAATGATATTCCCTAGATTTTTGATTGTGCTGCAAATTTAATTTGACCATCAAAATGTAGGTTAATTTATCTGTCATAATGTTTTCTAAGATATAGTAACCTATCATTATAATAAAATTGTAATGCAATTCCGAAGAATTTATATTTGCAATTATAAAATATACAGCTGTGCGATTTGAATTATTCTGTTCAAAATTCTAATCTATGATGTATTTTAGCGCTAAGCGGTTGTGAAATAGCGTTCCTACTTCCGCGATTATTTTCATCTGTTTGGAGATTGTGTCAAAAATACATTCATTAATAGCGCTAAAGGATTTAGTGAGATTTCTAACCCAGTTTACCTGGCCAATTATTCCCTCTTACGTCGTCGTACACATACATTATCTTCATAACCATTAAATCATGTCTCGCTGGTTGATATACGGGATACGCCTAGCACTCGTCGTTCGTTGCGTGAACGCGCAACGCATTACGTTTTCGACGAAAACGCACCATCAATTTTGGACAGATTCCAACGCGAGCAGATTCTGTCGGCAGATTGCCGCAAATCATTCGTGAGATTTGTCATAGCACCCGATTACAGCTTTCGATATCCCTGTGTCATAAATCATTGTTCTCGATACGAACATGTCTGTATATCCATTTGGTTATCTTTGTCATCAATGTACCGACCAAGATTGCTTTATTTTATTATAACGTCTTTATTAAGATGATATTAACGTTTTGTTGTATCTTTCATGTTATATGATAGATATAAGACCATAAGACGGTGGAACAAAACTATTTTATGTGGCAAAAATGGTAATATAAAATATACTTTATTATATTTTTATTATTAAACAAACGATCCTTTTTTTTCTCGGTATGTACATTGAGTATAAAAATAAATTTCAAGATGCAAAATTGCCTTCCTATTAAATAATAGTGTTATTGTATATTATTATTTTATAAGCAATAAAACAGATGATGCGATTTATGTCAAAAAAAAGGTATACAAAACGTTATATGACAAGTATTTTAATGTTAAACTTTGAGAGCATGCATAAAAGCAGTACGGTATTCAGCCAACTATTTTTATAGTGCTCCTATATGCGTCAACCTCGGATATCTTTATTCATGCATCGTAGTAAGAAATTGTTACAGAGATATGTTGGACCGTTTAGCACCTAATATTAAATTCCAAATAAAACGCTTCTTCACTATCAAACTACATAATTTGTAAAGTATATTTTAAAGATTTGACGACAATCAACGCGAAAGCTGAATTCTATGCTAAAATTTCATATTTATCATTAATTTTATATTTATTTAATCGGTTTGACATAATGTGTATTTTATTACTTCAATTTGAAGCTCAATAGTTTTCATGTTTAATAAAGTTTACGGAGAGAGAGTTTATCGGAGCGTGAAATTTATGAAGATGAAACATCTTTCAAATGATTTATGGTTTAAGAAATATTAAAGTTTATAATGTTAATTTAACTTGTTTATCTAACGAAAAAAATGACTTTTGGGGAAAAATTAGACTTTTTATGTTAAGACATGTTTTTAATTTTTATAGGAGTTTCGTGTTAATTTATAAGTTGATTACAAAATTTCTTGTTAAGAAATTTTTCTTAATAACTTATTTTAATAATTTAATTCATTCTTATAATTTCATGAATTTAATTAATATAATTTAATGTTTTGAGATGTAAACAAATTATATTCTAATATTTTATTAAAGAATAAACTAATTCATTTATTAAAAACTGCATACATGCATAGCAATTAATATGTAAATTATTTCACTGAAAAAATCCAGTGTGTGGCAAATGCTCATTTTTCGAATTTTAATTCATTTATATACTGAGAAAAAATGCTGTTGATTCAATTAAAGTCTATATTACGAGCTGTCACTAACATAAGTAATTAATTCATGTATATTTTTATTGACATAAAGGCTTGATTATTGAAATAATAATTTATGCCTTTTTATGTCAATAAAAATATACACGAATTAATCACTTATGTTAGAGATAGCCCGTAATATAGACTTTAATTGAATTAACAGCATTTTTTTCTCAGTGTACATGTATTCATATTCTTATGAGTGTATGATAAATGAATTAGAACAGATCTATTTTAACGTGACAGTATACCAAGATCAATACAAATGCACAATGAAATATAAAAAAATCCGGGATATTGACCCAACAACGACCTTTGCTTTTAATATTAGAAATTACTCATCCCTGTTGAATAATGTGAGCTTCGAGCGATATATTGACCTTTTTAACCTAAAGTATATATTGATTTTTCCCGTTATAAGAGTGGCTCAGGACAGTGTGTTCAAGGATAACCCTGAACATAAATCCGGAAAAGATCATATAACTTAGATTCATCCATCAGACATAAACCTACCTGAATGAGGGGTTGACCTCACCTACTCTCGATTTTCTCTGATATACACACACACACACACTCTCTCTCGCTCTCTCTCCATCTCACTCTTTCTGACCTTCTCGGTACCCTTCACAAAATCAATAGTGTCGGTGTGCCGAGTTTACTCTACGCTAGAACCACATTGGAAAACTCAAATTTGACACGCGATCGAAACCGCAGATGAGAGGAAACGGAACTTCTGTGTTTACTTGTGAAAGTTCCCGTGTGGATTTTTGACTCAATAAGACCGCCTCGAGAGGCTAATCGACCAATGTAATTTTGCCCGAATAACGTAGAGCTCCAATTGATTTCGAACTTTGGGGACCGTCCCTTTTTCAATCCAAAGAAAAGTTTTCGCGACTAATCGCTGCTCGACACGTTCGACGCCGGAGGATCTTTATAAACTACGTTAAATGCGTTCGTTGAAACTTTACTGACAATGAACTGCGTGGAATATAAGGAGAATACACTTTTGTATTAAGGTCGCCTTGCTTCGAGAGATACTAATGACTTACAATAATTCTAACAAACTGAGTTTTAAACATACTGATTCAACCGTAAGTTTTACTTTACTTGATTTCAATTAAAACATTTTGCAGCATATTTACATTTAATAACGCTAGTTATGAAGACAAATATTCGCCTGTGTTAGTAGATGATTACACGCGGAGTATGCCATCGTACAATATTTTAATGAATATTTGAGAAAATTTATCTTCAAGTTAAAGATCTTAATAGGAAAAACGTTATATAAACATTATATTTTTTCACTTTTTAAATATTCGAAAATTGGCCAACGCGATCACGAAGAATTTGTGTGTATACTGAAAGAATCTGATAATAATTATCAAATATCGAGAAAAATAATTCCAATCGAATTTTCGATTAATATATGTAATAAAAATAATTTTACTTTTCTAAATATTTAATAAGTATTGTATTACAAAAAACGGTTCGTTATATTATTACGTTTCACAATACTTACCAAATATTTAGAAAAGTAAAATTAGTTTTAATAAATAAGAAATAAGATCTGACCGTGTTAATGTACAACATAAGTACGGTAGAGAGCGCCAATGATCGATCAAAGTTAGATGTTCCAAATAATACAATATATATATATATATTTTTGATTTATAAATTTAAGATATAATCGCGAATCGAAACGTTCGGTCATTCGCATGTATATAAAGATCGAATTTTCTCAGATGTGACTGTGCGCCGAAATGTTCGACTTTTAAACACAATCAATTTGAGACGCAAATTATCTCCCCTAAATTAAATAAGAAACTTCTATTGCGAAAAATATTATCTCAACCTGGATTACTTCATCATAATCCTTGATAATATTTTTCGCAATAAAAGTTTCTTATTTAATTTAGGGGGAATTATTGGCATCTCAGATTGATTTAAAAGTTCGAACATTTCGGCGCACAGTCACATCTGAGAAAATTCGATCTTTATATACATGCGAATGACCGAACGTTTCGGCTCGCGATTATATCTTAAATTGATAATTCAAAAATAATGTATTATTCGGAACATCTAACGTTGACCGACCATTGGCGCTCTCTATCGTATTTATGTTGAAAATTATTTTTGTTATATTAACAAAACATTTGATTAGAATTATTTCATTGAACATTTGTTAGCTATTATTAGTTTTTTTTAGTGTATAGACTTGTAATTTCGTACATTGATTTTTGATTTTTGGCCAATTTGAAAGTAACTTGTTTATCGTCTTTTTAATTAAAAGTGTAGTGGAATATTTTTGTGTCGTTGGATTATATGAGTATAACAAAAAAATATGCCGTAAATAGATCATTTATTAATAGCTAGTTTGAAACGTAACGAATAGAATATTCGCTATATACATTTATAATACTTTGAATTTATTTCGGTTAATAATAATTTCGGCTTTGTTTCTTTTTCCTAATGCGTTCTGTATTTATAAAAAATTGCTGCACACAAGCATTTCAAACTCCGCGACTGGAGAAGGTAGGTAATGTATCGTTCTTTGTGTTGGAACGCAATCGCGTAAGATTAAGAAATATAAAACGCAATTATTTTTTACGATTCAACAATTAGCAATGATCGATTTTGAAGATAAATTTCTTTGTATCATTAACAATTCGTATATTAACGCAATAGTTATTTATAAAAGTATGATAATTTTGTACAATTTTGTTTGTTTGACATAGAAATAAGAATTACAAATTATTTCACAATACGACACAATAATACTTTTACAATAATAAGATTGAAATCGGAAGTGCGAAATGTCGCGTAATCATTATATTCTAATAATTAAAGCGAGCATGCGAATGTAATTAATAGTTTTCGAGAGTGCTGTATTGTGTTTGTGTGAATATGATGAAGAAACTTGAGAGGAGTAGGAGGAGGACCTGCGAGGCATCGAGCGACGGTAGAGTAATTATAGTGTGAAGTAAGTATTTATTTCCTGATTTTTAATATATTTTATTTATAGTATATTTACTTGCAGAGTTAATCTTGTAATATATTTACTTGCAGAGAGTTAATCTTAAAAATAACATTTACAGTTATCTAATAAATAATTTAAAGTTATTTATTACTACGATTTAAATATAACTATATTTTACAGTTCAAATGATTGTTATTATAATTGCGCTGCTGTGGGTGAGTGACAGATTTTATTTTAATTTAAGGTCATGAATCTGCGAAAGTTGTATCAGATAAACAAAAGATATAAATAGATAAGAATATATAGATTTAAGTATATTAAGCTAATAGCATATAATGATAATACAATAAAGAATAATACAATAAATATAACATTTTATAGAGCCATTGCCCGCTGAAATGGATGGATTAAAATGGATTATGTTAATTAATATAATAAATATTTAATTCTAAATGTGTGTGTACAATTACTTGTATTGATTTATTATGTATGTACACAAAGTATGCACAAAGGCTGTACTCTTATAAAGCTTGTAAAATGTAGTTTGCTATATCATGCATCATTTATCAGCCTTTTGATGTCTTGTACATTAGAATGCTGATTATAAAATAAATCTCAGTTGCCTCAAATTTTTTGTAGAATACATTAGCATAATAAGAAACAATAGAAAATAAAAAATTTTACAGACACAGAGCGAACTTGGTAAAAAATAATAA